CATTCGCATTCGCTTTCGCATAAACCCCCTCCCCCGTGTTCAACGGACCATGTAGCCTCAATCAGCTCAAACCGAAATCCCCAGAAAAATTAATTATGGACAGAGAACTACAATGGCAATAATAATAAGAAAAGCACTGGCATGGGTTAATCAATCCGAATAATACCCAATCTGAATGAACATCGAGGATAGCGTGGAGCAGAGCAGAGTAGACTGACGAGGTCAAACAAGAGCGAGCGAGGGAATCGGCAGCGACCGAGCGGAGCCGACTAGTCCCAAGACCTCTAACGGGTTCCTCTAATCAGTAGCACACGCAGTCATGTGTGAACTGGCCATCTGGCAATTTAGACCACGGCTGTGACTCTTATTACCGGTCTCGTTTTGTCTCGTCCTACATCATTTGTCTCACTCTTGTCATCCCCGTGCAATCCACCTCATCGTGATTATCATCAACATCACAGTGTGTATTACAGCTGGCAATCTATAGTCCCGTGAGAAACGTATGCACGGTGAATGTATTCGTTCAACCCAGCTGAAGACATCATAGAACCGTTCGGGGCAATAAAAAGCGGACAACCATATAACTGAGTCCCGCTGGAACCGATCCCCCATAAAGATGGAGCGCTCAGATACCGATAGCTTTCAAGCTCCCCGGTCGAAGTAATTGTATAAGTCCTAGCAGTTCGTTTAGGTGTCGGAAGGAGGAACTAGCCATTGTCTCCAATCGGGGGTAACAGAATGAATGACACTATTAGGGGTAACGGGTGAGATGAATCATTGTGAATGCGTGGAATAAACAGTCTGTTCCGGGGTTTGTGGTTGATCCAGCGTACCATGACACTGGGACTTAACGTATCTGTGGCGATAGGGTCAACTAACCGAGCAGGTACAGTGCATTTCGGTTAAACAAGCAACGCACATTCCTAAACCGAACAGGCAATTGTACGGATTGTATGATTAATCAAATGAACGCGCTCTGGGCTTTCCCATACGAAGCGCTCTCCTTCCGTTTATTTTGACACGCAACAGGCCACTCACGGCAATGAGGTCGCGATCGATCAAAGTGAGACAATTGAACCCCGAATGGATCACACACATCGCTCATTCAGCTTGATCCAGTCCTCCCTCTCCCCATTGTTTACTAAAGCAGCGAGCAGATTGAATTACTGTACGGTAGAAATCAAAACGGGTTCCGCTGTCCAACTCCGTTCGTGGCCTTGCACACGTAAGTCCGTGTCTATTAGCTACAATTTATCTTGTATTATCATGGTTTGTGCAGGGTAACCGTGACCACTAGCATCTTGCAGTCAAAATACCTATGTTCACCGTTGCATTGGGATAAAAATCATGAAACTGACATGGGAAAACGAAGATAAAAACCTAAATAGAAAAAGGATTTTGCGTAGAACATCTTTTCAGTTAACCAAACAGGACAATACTGTTGAATTAGTAAAACTAGCCGCTTAGCATCACGCTAAAAAACCTTAACAAAATTCTCGCGGGCGGGGACAAATGAGGAACACACGGCTTTCTGATTGGACTGTTTTGAGAAATAGAGGGAACAAGGTCAAGTTAGGATAAAGGTTATTTCAAATCTTGGTGACTGGGACCGGGAAAACACACAAGGGAACAGTGAACAGTATGATGGGGAAAATGTATCGATCAATAATGGAACAGTGTTAAATACTTCACTCCAGACTGAATAGGTTTGTTTATCTGAACGGAAAGGTGATGTAGTTTATCAGCAGCGGTTAGCACTCCGAAGGAATAAGGTGGATTGTTGTCAACGCTACCGAGAGCTTTTGTTCATACTCAGATCGCGAAAAACTAAAAGCACTTCGAAGCATATTGGAAACATTCAACCGGAAACCAGATTGTTCTGAAAATGCACCAGTCAGAAGCCGTGCGACCCAGACAGAAGCTATGCGATGCCAAGAGTACGAGCATGCGATTGGTGGATGCCTGAATAACCAATAAACTTCTTCTGTACATTTTAGAGTATCAAGCTTGAATTAGCCTATTCGATTGTTCAAAGGTACCAGATACGAGTCCCAAACAGGATGAAACACCTGTCGGTTATCACAAACATTTTCATCGCATTTAAATGCATTCAAATAGTGGGGAATTTAAGATCTCCCAAGGAGTGAAACCCACACCCAAGAACATCAAGAGTGCCTCGTGCGTCTGAACAATCGAATGGGCTAATCCAAGCGTGATACTCTAAATTGATTGACTCATTCGCACAAGGTAATGATGA